TAGTTGGAACTGTCTGTTCCTGCCCATGAAGACACCAACGGTTGGTTGTTCTTAAAAGTTAGCTTTTCTGAAACATTGTTCTGTTGCTTACAAGACATGTATGATGGCTCTGTTTGGTGATTAGAATAATAGAAAATCGCTGGCTGACCCATTGTTAAGGAAAGACAGAGGGCTGGAGAGTCAGCTTGCTGAGGAGAGCCTGGCCAGGGCAGAAGTCCTGGGAAGCTGCACTGACAGTGAGGACCCGCATGGTAGGGTTTGGCCGGTGACACAGCCTGTGAAAGAATTCACAATTGAGAGGAGAGATTGATATAGATAGGAAGTTTATTTTACTTTCCACAAAGGGAAAGGTCCAAGTATTGCCAGTCAATACAGGGCAAGAAACAAATGATGGCCTGCTCTTTTAAGCAGAGGCTGTTGATAAGCAACAAGATAGGGAGGGGCGTTTTGGGCTGAAGTTGAGCAGACATTAGGAGCCGTGTTGAAAAGTTATTGTGTTTTGTATGTTTTACAGGAGACAATCCTGCACATGTCTAGGGAGGTGTCTTATCAGTATTTTTCCCAAGCTTTGAAACATGCTTAGAGCAAAAATTATGAAGAGTTCAAAGGGGAGAGAGGAAGGGAACTTTCTATTAACTAGAGACTCCTTGGTGTGAATTATCCTTGAGTTCTAAAAACAGCGGGAAGAGAGGCATGCAAGAATGTAGCCTTGAGAGTAGCTTATCTTGTCTTGCAGTTTGAACAGAGGGGCCGTTTGATTCAAAAGAGCGGACTATCTTGGTGTTTAATTACCAGGTGCTTCTCATAAATTGTGGAAGGCTAAAGCAAAGGGGGAATAAAAGGCCTTTTTTTTTGTCCTTACACCATTTGCCAGGATTCCCACCACCACCTTTAGTTTCCCAGCTTTCTGTTAAACCTGAATGCTTATGCACACAGATTTCCTCAGGCACCCAGGAGCAATGCTGTCTTTGAACCCTTTGTATGGAATACTCCACACTCAGATATCTGCATGGCCTGCCCCCTCACGGCATTCTGGTCCCTGTGTGTCACCTGACACAGAGGACTCCTCTGAACTCAAGCATGAAGTAGTGCCCTTTCCCTACCTCCCTTGACTGACCTCTCATACTGATTTGTTCACAGCCTGGACCAACTTGCTAGAAGTTAAGTGCAATGAAGTCAAGGAACTGATTTTGTTCACTGCAATAGTCAACACCCGAAACAGTGCTTAGCTCTACGACACAGGCACTCTGTGCTATTGATCTCATCAGTAGACTTCCCTGACCTCCACGGGACAGCCTTGTGGTCTGCTTTGACCAGTTGAAAATCCCCGTGTTATCTGCATCAGGGTTTCTGACAGCTCTCTAGGTGATTCAAAAGTGCAGCCAAAGTTGAAAAACATTCACGTAATGATAGAATGAGTTGGTGTCACCACTTATGTCTACAGTAGAATCAAAGAGCTAGAGCCATGGAGAGGGGGTGCCTGAACTGCCCTAAACAAAGTTCTGCAGATGGGGGTGATGATCACAGTTTGGCCCAGGTCCTCTGAAGAACTCCAGAGAATGGTTTAGACCCCTCCCAGGGGACCATTCCAATGCCCCCGGCTCAGGCTTGTCTTCCCTGAAGTTGGGCCTGCACCTCAAAGTGGGCATTACCTGGAGCCTGAGCCTCTATCCAGGGATGTCCGAGGGAGGCCTGGCGCCTCCTGGTGGCTGAACGCACGCATCGCAACCACCTCCTCTTGAGCACTGTATGAAAAGAGCCAGATGCCCTGAGGGTCTTTACTGAATTGGGCACTAAGAGACTACAGGCCACTTTGGGAGGCCTCTTTCAGAAAGCCTGGGGCCCACACTGGCTTCCTCAGGTTCTCTGCAGGACCGGAAAGCCAGATCAGCGGGGAGCATGAAGGAAAAAGCAATCCAAGGAGGCTGTGGGGAAAGGAGAAGTATGAGGCTGCAGCTGGCCTCCCTAAAGGGATGCTTTTAGAAGAGCCTGCAGCCAGCTGGTGGGTTGTTAGAGGTAGCCTCCCAAATGTGTCTGGGAACCACAAGCCTTTGCTTTCAGAACTCAGGGCCCATCAGAATCTGGACTTCACAACCAGGGTCTGCTGGTCAACCAGTATCCAGCAAGATGTGCGTGGATTCTTTTGGAGACTTTACTCCCAATCAGCCAACTCCAGTGCCTTTAGGAACTTAGAAAGCAGCACCTCCCATAATAGCCCAGGGCCTTAGCCCAGCCTCTTCTCTGAGGCCTGTGTATCAGTGTAGGGCTGGAAGTCATCAGTTCTGTCTTCCAAAGATAGGCATTTCACTGATAAATATCAGAAATGAAAAATCATGTTCATAAAATTCAGAGGTTCCCTGTGCAAATGCTAACCGCAAAGTTATTTCCTATTGTTAATAATAGTTTTCCTGAGGTATAATTGACAATCAACTGCACATATTTAAAGCATAAAATTTGAGCACTGGCTGAGTAGCTCAGTTGGTAGGAGCATCATTCCATACACCTAGAGGTGGTGGGTTCGATTCTCAGTTGGGGCACATACCTAGGTTGCAGGTTTGATCCCTGGTCAAGGTGCATATGGAAGGCAACAGTGATGTCCCCCACCTTCTCCTTTTCTCTCTCTCTAAAAATCAATAAAAACATATCCTTAGATGAGGATTAAAAAATATTAAAGTATGAAATTTGATAAGTTTTTACAGGGAGATGCCCATGAAACCACCACCATGGTCAGGATAGGGAGCTTACCCATGGTCCTCTGTAGTTTCCTTTGTGCCCTTGTGATCCCTCCCTCCCACTGTGCCACTGAAAGCCCCAGGCAAGCCCTAGTTGGTTTGACTCAGTGAATAGATTGTCGGCCTGCGGACTGAAGGGTCCCAGGTTCGATTCTCGTCAAGGGCACATGCCTGGGTTGAGGTCTCAATCCCCAGTGTGGGGCCTGCAGGAGGCAGCCAATCAATGAGTCTCTCTCATCATTGATGTTTCTCTCTCTTCCTCTCTGGAATCAATAAAAATATTTTTTTAAAGAAAAAAACAAAGAACTAAAAGACTGGGAAAACATTCTGTGGCATATGCCTTCATTTCTGGTTTTCCCTTGGGGCATAGAGTGGCAGTGCCCAGAAGCATACAGTTGCAATATGGTGCTCTGGTGTGGGTACAGAGTTAGGAGGTTGGAGGGATGGGATACAGATGGTGGGGCAGCATCGTAGCTGACTCTTCCCTCAGCCTTGTAGCCCAGTTCATCTTGCAAACCTGGTTGCTCACAGGATACCATCTATTCTTAGAGAGAATCAACTAGACAATATGAATTGCACAGCCTTTGCCACCATTCATCAAATTCAGTTCCTCTATCTTAGGGGCAGGACAGTCTACAGCTCACCCATGGTGCCTAAAGTTATATGAACATCAAAATACCAAAATGAAATGTGGTCCCACTTTGTTGGGTTAGTTCATATGCTTGATTGGATGTTGGTTAAGCATGACCTTGGGATCACTTTGGAAAGCAGGCCACAGACAGAATGCCACAGTTCCTACGCTCAGTGCTTTGTGCACAGCTCCTCCCATGACACTGGCCTCTTTCTGTTTTAGGGGGTGCAAAAGGGAACCATTAGCACAAGCCAGGAATGAGCCATAGCTCTTAACCAAACCCAGTAGCAGGCACAGGAGCCTAAATCACAACATCCCTCTCCCCAAGAATCCCCTTCCCATATACTCTCCACATCTCCACACCTGCCTAACCTTCAAGACCTCCCCCAAAACCCACTTTCCCAGGAACAATTTTATGACTCCACAGCCCAGTTGGCCAGACATTAGTCTGAGGGTTCTACACACACCATCCCATTGGATCCCCATAGCAATCTATGGACAGGTATGATTATCCTCATCAAGAGGACACTAAGACTCTGCGAGGTTAAATTTGTCCTCCTGGCTTCCAAATGACAGCAATAGGAATGAAACCCGGTACATGATTCCAAAGCCTATGTTCTTAAGCACTTTCTACATGATGTCACCGCCCCAGCATCACCCCTTTTTCTGACCCACGATGGTCTGGACGTGGTCCCACTTTGTTGGATTAGTTCACATACTTGTAGAATGAAGTTTTTCTTGAGTATGTAAAGCATTTCTCCACCTTCATTGAAAGTTGCTTGAAGAAGGGGATGACAACTTCTACTTCTCCCTTTCTCTTGGGGGTCTATGGTATATATCGAGGTATATGGATTCATTAAACATTGGTTCATTCAACGTGGTTGAATTCAGACAATAAGGAAAAGGAATTAAAATGTGCTCAGGACAGACACCATACTTTCAAGACATTATTTTATCCAATCCCATTCTAATCTGGAATGCTTTGTGATGGTCCTATCATCTTTATTTATTTATTTTTAAATCTATTTGTACTGATTTCAGAGACGAAGGGAGAGGGAGAGAGAGATAGAAACATCAATGATGAGAGAGAATCATTGATTGGCTGCCTCCTGCACGCCCCCTACTGGGGGTCGAGCCAGCCACCTAGGCACGTGTCCTTGACTGGAATTGAGCCCAGGCCCTTCAGTCTGCAGGCTGACGCTCTATCCACTGAGCCTAACCAGTTAGGGTGGTCTTATCATCTTTAGTAGAGATAGTTTCTTTGCTTCTGAGGCTAGTTAAGATGGAGTAACTCACCCGTTTCCACACACCGTGTGCATAGTGGAAAATGGATCGTCCACACATTCTATTTCCCAGTTCTATTCCATTTCTGACACACATAATTGGCTTTCTGATTTCACAGTTAACTCAGGTTCCAAAAGGCAGCCTTTTATGATATCCACTATTTTTTTGAGTGTTCCTTTTGTTTAATTACAGGTCACTAAGTAGATCTAATAGAGATGAGATTGACAGAAGCAATCTTGGCGTCACATCAATGAATACAGACCATTCATGGAGTAGGAGGAGAAAGGTGCTGCCCCGTGGACAAAAAACTGGACCCAGAATGAATATAAAGACAGAGGATTTGGGGAGTGGAGGCACCATCAGGGAAAGACTCACTCCAAGTGCCTGTAGCTGAGTCGGTGTCGTCTCTCCCAAGATGAAGCTGCTGCTGATGTGTCTGGGGCTGACTCTGGTCTGTGCCCATCATGGAGGAAACCATGATGTTGTGACAAGTAACTTCGATATGTCAAAGGTAGAGCTGGGGGAGTATAGGGTCTTCTGACTTTGGGGGTGGTTTGGGAGATTCTGAAGCAAGATGGCCCTACTGGAGGGCAAGAGGTTTTTGACATATTGGACAAAGGGGGTGGTTTCTGATCTTGGACAAAAAGCAGTCGTAAGATGTGGAAAAATAATAACACTTGGGGACCTCCATTCTCATTGGAGGTCAGTGGAAGGAGACTTTCATGTGGAGTCAACTGACCTGGGTTCTAATTCCATCTCCATATCACCACTATGAGTCCTGGCCCATAGGCCAGAGTTCAAGAATACAGATGTTTATGTGGTATCCCCTCTCTTCTTTTCTTACCCATTTTAATGGGTTTTTTTGCAGATTTCAGGGGAGTGGTATTCCATTCTCTTGGCCTCAGACGTGAAGGAAATGATAGAAGAAAATGGTAGCATGAGAGTTTTTGTGGAATCCATCCAAGTCTTGGACAACTCTTCCTTGTCATTTAAATTTCACATGAAGTAAGTATGGCTTATTTTTTCTTTGGGGAAAAAAACCCCAAAAGCCTGACTGTGGTGTTGGACCACTAAACACACGCACACACACACACTCACTCATGTGTACACTCACATTGTGGGCTTGTATCCAAAATCAGAGTCATTTATCAGGCACTGATCCATGACATAATGAACTGAGAATTCAGAGATAAGAATTGGTGACAGGAATAAGTTTAATTGGGAGTAGGGGAGTTCAGAGATTGAGGGGTATCAAAATCATAAGAAATGTGGCAATACCATTGGTTAAGTGCATAGGATTGGGGGTCAACAACCTAGCTATCTCTTGAAATGATCTCTTACTAGTTGTGTGACCTAGAAATTTTATCTCTATCCACTCAATTTCCCTTGGGTAAAAGAGGATGATAATAATTCTCTCTCATGGATTTCTTTTTTGTGAAACAATGTTTATTGAGCACTTATCTCAGAGGTGGCACTTCTGAAAACTCAACTGATTATCTAGGCAAGTAGCTATGTATATATATAAAACCCTAATATTCAAGTAGTCCGAATGGTGGAACAGCCAAACAGCCAAACAACCAAACAACCAGTCGCTGTGACGTGCACTGACCACCGGGGGTCAGGTGTGGAATATGGCGGGCATCAGCAGCAAGAGGCAGAGGGAAGAACATGGTGGGCTTTGGCTGTAGCGGGGTGGTGGTACAGGTGAGTGGGGACGCTAGACCAAGGTGGGGCACTGGTCGCTGTCATCAGGGCGAGCCTCTGGTGGTTACTGAAAATTCTTTGTTCTCTCATGCCGCAGTAAAAGTGACGTCAGTAGTAGACTCTTTCTTAAAGTAGCAAGTAAAGTGAAATAAGGTAAATAAAAGCTGTACCAAAATGTTCTACAGTTAATTGGAATCAGACACTCAAGTAGCAGGTGGAGTGTGAGGGAGCCAGACCCATCAATATCTCTTGGGCATCAGCTCATTCTGTTTTACAGGGTCAATGGAGAGTGCACTGAAATTTCTTTCATTTGTGATGAAACAGAAGAAAAGGGTGTATATAGTGTTGAATGTAAGTATACATTAAGAAGTGTTCAGCCCTAGCCGGTTTGGCTCAGTGGATAGAGTGCTGGCCTGCAGACTGAAGGGTCCCAGGTTCGATTCCGGCGAAGGGCACATGCCCAGGTTGCGTGCTCGATCCCCAGTCGGGGGCATGCAGGAGGCAGCCAATCAATGATTCTCTCTCATCACTGATGTTTCTATCTCTTTCTCTCCCTCTTCCTTCCTCTCTGAAATCAATAAAGAAATATATATTTTTAAATGTGTTCATAAATTCTATTTCAATTGCAAGAAAATTACTAAATCCCAATATCATTTGTATCTTGATTAATTCTTGATTGATGCTTATTTAGGTAATGTAAATGGGGCCATCTAATAGCCAATATCCTCAATTTGGGAGAACCTGGTGTGTAAAAGCCAAAATATGGTACATAATATCATCAGAACAAGGTGGCAATGTGGTCATATGCACCACCTACAACAAAAGAAAATAGGCACACACAAAAAGGAAATTTTTCTCATAGCTTTTCATTTCCTGCCCACTTGGTTGATTTTTGGTGGCCACTAACAGCAAATTGCTCACATAGAGTGCTGTGTATATAATGCCAGAGGGTTTATAGACAGGACAGAGACACATAGTTGGCAGAGATGGCCGAGGGACCTAGGTGAGCTTAATAGAAGGTAAGTTGCAGCTGTGGCTGAATTTTTTACCACTAGCAATCAATGTACTACTGCTTGTCAGTTCTACACTTAGAAGTCACCAGATGAAGCCTAAGGAGATGCAAATGGCAGACATTAGCTCTTACTCTATATCTCTTCCAGGGTATGCACTTATATTTGCTCTGTGAAAGAGAATAGGTAACGAATTTCACTTGAGTTCTATGCACTAAAGAAGTTCTGAGTTGTGTTCTCTTTTCCCCACAGATGATGGATACAATACATTTCACATAACTGAAGCTGTCTATGGTGACTATCTTATTTTGTATCTCAGTAATGTTAAGAATGATGAAGAAGCCCAAGTGATGGAGTTCTATGGTAGAGTATTTTTATGTGGATATTCACCTTAGAGGGTAAAGGAGACAAAATGATCCTTCCAATCTTATCCTGGGCCATCTCTCCTCCCCTGAAGAGAGGGGCTCACCTTGGGTAATCCTTCAGGCTCAGTGATGGAAAGATGATGAAATTTCTCATCATGCCAGAAGGGTATCCTAAAAATGTCAAGTTCAAGACAGGAGATAGCCCATCCCTGACTTCTGCCTAAGCACCAATTGGTGCCAGTCATCTGCCCCCAAGAGCCTCAATGACCAAGACACAGGACCCAGCAGTTATTGTCACTCTTCCCCACAGCCCGAAAACCAAATGTGAGCCCAAAACTCAAGGAAAGGTTTAGAAAACTTTGCCAAAAAAATGGAATTACTAAGAAAAACATACTGGACTTGACCAAAGTCGGTAAGTTTAGTTATTTCTGGTTTTCTCTTCCTAAATTCCCATGTTACTGGGTGGAGAAATGCAAGAGAAGGTAACACCTCCAATCAGGCCCCTCTGTCCTGACCTGGGAAATCATTTGATCTCTTGCTGAAAAATAAATGGGTTGGTGTTTGTGCTCTGCTCTGTCTCTGCAGATCGCTGTCTCCAGGCTCGAGGGAGCCATGATGCCCAGGCCTCCAGGTTGGTGATGTCTGATGGAGAGGGGTTAGCCCAGGGACCATTGCCTTCCAAAACCTTAGGGGTTTGTGACCAAAGATTACAATAACAATAGTTGGGCAAGGAAGCTTGTGGGATGAGCTTGAAATTTGGAGTTCGTGGGTCCCATGAGCTGTAGAGCAAATGACCTATGCAATGAAAAGGAAAACAATGACATGTACCTTGCAGAGTTACTGTGTGGATATCCTGCTGGTAAAAGTAAAGTCCTAAAAGTAAAATCATTAAGTCTTGGAATTTGCAATAGGAAAAGAATACTAGGGTGTGAACATGAAACCCAAATACATTTCCATCTTCCAAGGCCAAAATGTGTGGTCTCACCCTCCAATATTTGGTAATACTTTATCTCTGCACATCCTTAGCTTCTAATCTGGAAACAGAGCTCTCTGACCTTCCAATTGTCTTTCATCTGAAAAATAGGCTCTGACTTTCATCTGTTTCCTACCTTAGCTTTATTTTGCCCTGATTTGCCCTGATCCTAAAATTCTCTTTCTCAAGGAGATACTGAGAGACAATTGCTGCTGAGGCTGATACTGGCTCACCATGTTTCAGGACATGCCTCCACATCCCAGCTTCCCTACATTATCCAGATAATATATGGGAATATATTAGCAACTATGGCCTGCATAAAGTCAGCATTTAATACAAGGTAGCTATGGTTTGCCATTCTTCCTCAATTTATCAAAAAATTCCTCAAAACATTTAATGCTGAGAATGGCAGAAACAAGCCTAGGGTCCTTCATGGATTATTCCTCTCTCTTTCTCATAGACTCAGCTCAGGAAAGGTTAAGGAATAGAAAAACAACAACAACCAGCCATTGATTCAATGACCTCCTTCCCCCTATTCTGGAAAGAAACATAGGTTGCAGTACAGACTGATATCTATTTCCTCACCATTTTTCTCTGTAATAAAAATTCTCTTTGTCTTCAATTCAACCCAGGAAGAGCTTAATGAGTTTCTGTGTTCTCTCTCATCTGCTTGTTTAGTGCTGAGTGAATGCTTCCTCACCTGGGCTCCAGGATCTTCATTCCATGGTCCCTGTGTCAGCCTGTGAAAAGGTCTGCAACCTGATCTCCATCACTATCATCCAAGAAGGCCTTATCTCTGAATCTAAAGGATCTTCTCTAATTGTCTAGACAGACTCAACAATTCACCAAGAATCAAAGGTTTCCTCCAAATTTCTGACTCTGTTTGCCATACCCAGCACTCTACCGTGAATAAGACCTCCTGAACCTGATCAATAAATGATTAGTCGTGCAGTCATGTGATTGTCTTTGTGTGTGAAAGAGACATGGGGTTGATGGCAAGGGAATGAGGGGACTTCATGGCCCTGTACCCATAATGGTCCTCTAGCTTCTCAGAATCTTCCTGAATTTCAGGATTCTCCCTCCCCAGCAGTCAGTCTCTGTCCCGGTGATGCTGGTTGCCTTTTGATTGGCCTATTTCTTAATGATCCAATAAAACAAACTGTGAGACTTGCCCTATAATTTGCCCTGATCCTAGAATTCTCTTTCTCAAGGGAGTACTGAGAGACAGTTGCTACTGAGGCTGATCTGGGCTCACCAAGTTTCAGGACAAACCTCCACATCCCAGCTTCCCTACATCATCCATTCTATACACAGTCGGCATCCTTTCATGCTCTCAGAAAACCTCCTTCAACCCGAGCTGTTATCGACTGTGAGCATGTTAAGTGAGGTACCAGGAAATGTGAGCAATAGAGATCTTTAGCCATCTGTACTTGGTACAGTCAAGAATCACCAAGGAGTCTAAAGGTCTTAACCTCTTTTGGGGGGATCTTATGGGATTTGGAGAAAGGAAAGTTAAGGTTCTTCCTCCATCTATAATACTTTTCTTACATCCAATGATAAAAACAGTGTCAAAATGGCACATTGGTGCTGGAACAGAGCTACATGAGGGTGGGTTGTCATTCACGAAGTATATCTCAGTCATTATGGTCATAAGCTTAATGACAGGTAGGCCCAGTTGTTCTGTTGGACATAAACAATCTCATAAAACATCAACATCAGACAAGGTCACTCTGAGATCATTTAAGCCAGATTATCGTGCAATCCAAAATCATGTCTCTCTCTCAACTAAAATGAGTGACTGCTGATTCTTTATCAAGTACCAGTATAGCTTTATATTCATGCTTATCTTCATTTCTTGTAGATAAGATTTATGGATGTACTCAATTGTAGACTTACCGCTGACTTCTGACAACCCCTAACCTATAGCTTCCTTAGATCTCCCCCAAATCCTGTAGTAGATTCTTTCTAACACACTCTGAGTCACCCACGGTTCCTCATGGTGAGCATACTGCATAGCTGCAATCAACCCAAACTTTTCAACTACAAGTATGTCCCTGGTGGTCTTTTTTGATGAGTATTAACCTTTCTAGGACTAGACCCCGGGTTTACTCCATGCATGTGCCCCCTGAAATTCTGTGAAGCACCAAATTGAATCACAAATTCAGGACCTGGTTTAATCTTTGCATTCTTTGGGGCTAGGACACAGGGTGCCTCCAAGTATTTTGGCCTAAGAGGGCGGGGCGGGGTGGGGGGGTGGGGATGGGATTGCCATTTACTCCAGTCAAGTGGAGGAACCAGCTTAGTAGGGAGTGTAAAATATCTTTGTTTGAACATTCATTAGTTTATCTAGCTAGGATGATTTAAAAAATAATGAGAGACCCAATAGTAATCTAGTATGGTTTAATGAAGATAGAATTAATTTGACTATCCCAAGCACAACCAGAAGAGAGCATTCCAAGTTGGCAACTCCATTCCACACAGTCATTCAGGAACCCAGTTCTTTCTAGCTGGTTTCTCATGTCACCCTAGGGCATTGTCCTCATGTGTGTGGCCAAAGCTGAGTTTCAAAAAGTAAGGGATCAGAGAATATGCTGGAAGCATGGTCTTATGTCCACGGTCCTCTGAGCCTTGGTTCTGGGAGGTTATCCCTTTTCCATACCCCCACCGGCACTCCCACCCTCTGCTTGTGCAGGCTCAGAGAGATTATTTTGAAGATTAAGGAGTCACATGGTTTTGCTATAGGCCAGACCTAAATTCCTTTAGCAGTGCAAATTCCTAAAAAACTTAGCAGACTTCAGGTACATTCATCGCTTGACTTCTCTGTGTACAGAAAACCAGGCACCAAAATTTTTACTAGTTATAAAGTTAGGCCCCCAAACTTGTATTTTCTAAATTGACTTTTATGCCCTACCTACCCCTTCTGCTTTTTGTAACTTAATGGAGGCCACCTAAAACAATGGCTTTGGGTGGAATGGGCCTTTAACCCCTTCTTTGCCAGGAGGCATGCAACCTTTCAAGGCAGCAGCATTATCTCCTCTGAGACTAGACTTCCACTTCACAGCCACTATCTGCAACTGCCTCACTTTGGGGTAAGACACCCTCATTCAACTTGGAAGCAGGCTTCAGGCAGAGGGGCATACCTTAGCAAAGCTGTGCTATCTCCTCTCTCTACTTGCAGCCTAACTGGCTGTAGCACATGCCCTACCCTCTCATAACTTTTGTTGAAAGCTTCAGGAAGTCATGGACACAGTACCAGTATTCCAACATCCTGAATCTTTCCTTCTGCTTCTCCAGGTTCTACCGCCTGTGTCAGCACACTGTCTCTTTCCCAAGGTACAGCAGACAACCATGTGACCTAATGTTTTCCCAGCATGGAATGACACTTCCCAGCTTCCAGGCTGTGATAGCTTTATCTGTGATGCCCAACACTGGCCTTCCTCCAGTAAACTAGCCACATATTTTAGGTTCCCTCAATCGCTTCAGCTAGTAAGTCTCTACCATATCCCATATTCTTGTGAATGAGCATTGGTTAATCAAACTCATGAGAAAGCCAGACATTTCTTTGTTCATGAAGATCTAGGTCCAGTAATGGGCCTCTGAAACGTACAGCAATTTATGCCTTATAAAAATCAAATCCTGGAGATGCTTACTGCTAGCTTCCCTAAATATATTAAGAATATAAAGCTCATTCCATGTTGGGATGAATGAGCCTTCCTATTCTATACAGACACCCTGTTAATGTAATAGTACCCTGGTTGGTCAAATTTGCTTTGAGCATTCTCATTGACATTGACACATCAGGACTTTAAAAACATTGATTTCTCCTGGGTATGTAACATTTGGTCTTTTTAAAAAATATATATTTTATTGATTTTTTACAGAGAGGAGGGGAGAGGGATAGAGAGTTAGAAACATCGATGAGAGAGAAACATTGATCAGCTGCCTCCTACACACTCCCTACTGGGGATGTGCCCGCAATCGAAGTACATGCCCTTGACTGGAATCGAACCCGGGACCCTTGAGTCCACAGGCTGACTCTCTATTCACCGAGCCAAACCGGTTAGGGCACATTTGGTCTTAAAGCCATAAACAGTAATGGCTTTTCCTTGGGAAGAACATCCTCCCCAGTGGCCATAATGCCCCTAATAAATAAATGGGTGCATTTTTAAAAGTGGAGAGCATTACTACTCTCTAGCCATCTCCCTTTGAACCTGATTGCACTATGTCAGTGTCACTGATAGGTGGATTTCCTAACAGATTTCATTATCAGCAACATGAATGTGAATTTTCTTTAGCAATTTAAACGAAATGTACACTAGATCTATATTAGCATTGTTATATCTCAAAAGCTAATAGTTGTAGAATAGATATGTACAGTATGACATCACTCACATAAATCATAAATAAAACTCGTAATAGTGCCATATATTACTTATGGATTTCTGTATGTGTGAGAATGCAGTGCTCCTCAGAATGTGCATCCAAATCACTTGGGGAATCTTGATAAATGGCAAGCTCTGCCTTAGCAGGTCTTGGTGGGCCTGAGATTCTGCATTCTAACAAGGTCCCAGAGATGCTAATGCTGTGCCACCTTGAGAGAGGGTGACACAGGTAAAGGGAAACTGTCCTTCTAATCTTCTTCAGTGCATCAATGTCCTGAATTGTTTTGCTTCACCTGGGTGCTGGAACCTCTGAGCTGTACTTCTGGATTCCCATGAAGGTATCCTCACCCATGAGTGGTTGTTAAAATAGGTGTTTATATGGGGACATGATGGCTGGCACCTCCTATTCCACTGTGTTGCTCATGCCAACGCAGATCAGTGATCATTTTAATTAAAAGACACACAGAGAGAAAGACGTTGACTTTTCAAACCTATATTTTCATTTTATAGAAGATCTAATAACATCAGGGGTCAAATGAAAGTTATGGTGGAATCAGCCAGCAATAGGATCTATGCTACTGCTTCTTGGTGCACTTTGTGCATTGGGGGTTTTCCACCATGACATTTAATGCTAAGTTGTTTTTTCATTAGTTCCGTATCACCCTTACTCTCACCACACTGTCCTCAACACATTCTTACGGTCTGAAAGCAAATTGGTTCACGAAAGGGAAATAAACCTCTGCAAAGAGCACCACAGAATAATATCCCCAATGTAGGCAGGTGTGAATTAGGATTACTCAGTAGATCATATAGGCCACACTTCCTTCAAGAGTTAACTCTGCCAGTGTATCAGAAATACAGTGAGGACACTCTATTTTTGGCATACAGCTGGACAGGAGAAATGGGTCCTGTACTAGTTTCCTGTTAGTGCTGCAACAAATCACCACAAACTTAGTAAGTTGAAACAGTGAAAGTTTACTATACGACAGTTTTGGAAGTCAGAAGTCTGACATATAGCACACTGGACCAAAGCCATATGAGCCCCATGTCTGTCAATGTATTCAGATCATCTTCTAAGTCCTTTCTTAGAGTTTTGAAATTCTCTCCTTGGTTGTCTTCTTCTGTATTCTTGGTTGTTAAGTCCTACATACTTTCACCAGTCTGCTTGTTTGTTTTATAGTATACTAGAGGCCCAGTGCACGGATTCGTGCACCAGTTGGGTCCCTTGGCCTGGCCTGCAGGGATCAGGCCAAAACTGGCTCTATGATATCCGCCACAGGGTCCCAGATTGCGAGAGGGCGCAGGCCAGGCCTAGGGACCCCACGGGTGCATGACCAGGGCTGGGGAGGGACCTCGGGAGGGCTCCAGGGCATGTCTGGCCCATCTCACCCAGTCCTGATCAGCTGGACCCCAGCAGCAAGGTAACCTACCAGTCAGAGCATCTAGCCCCTGGAGGTGAATATCATAGCGACTGGTTGGACAGTCGAATGAGCGGTTGGACACTTAGCATATTAGGCTTTTATTATATAGGAATATTTTTATATTTAGAATTGGCCAGTTG